GATAGATAGATAGATAGATAGATAGATAGATAGATAGATAGATAGATGATAGATAGATAAAAAGAGAAAGGGGGAGATAAATATGCATGCACACACACATCACCATCAACACACACACAATTAAATCTGCCTGAGGACATTCAGTGTTTCTTCAGCAACAAGAATGATCTCACAACTAACCAAGATAAATGGAACCCTAAACGCTGCCATTCTGTACGATGAAAATAGATCAGAGAGGGCTTAGTGGGCCAGGTTTTCTTCAGAAAAGGAAAACAGAAAAGAAATGGCCATGTAATCGTTCTACGCGAGCAAATTGATCCTGACTCTGCCTTAAAGCGCAGGCCGTTTGGGTTCCTTTCATCATCGAACGGAATAAGCTCACTGAGCAGCTTAACGCCGATGGGCTTTTTTTGATCTTCACGCTCATCTCTTTGAGAGCTATGCTGAAAAGGGGTGAGATTATATTATCTCGTTTCCAGCATGGCTAATGCTGTTTTTGGCACTCGTCTGAGGGCAGGAGAGTCAAAGCACCGGGGCTCTTCTTGGTGGTTTTGCTGGAGAGAGTAAAACGTTAATGAAATCACTTAGAAGTGCAGTCTTTTCATTTGCAATTTAAGAGACAGCATTGGCTCGGTCTGTCTGTCTGTCTGTATCTGTGTCTCTGTGTGTGTCTGTGTCTCTGTGTGTGTCGGTATGTATATATGGGCGCAATGAGAAACTATCTGCTGAGAACTCTGTATTGGTGACAGGAAGGGCACCTGGCCGGTAAACATTCAGCTCCATTTAGTTGCCCCAACTCCACCCCGATACAAGGGATTACAGAGTCATTAAAAGAAAAAAAGTGGCTATGATTGGTTGCTCCTGAATATTCATTGTTATCCAAAAAAAATGCAAAGGATCTGCAGGTAAATCCTTGACTTAACCACCACACTTGGGAAATTCCGTTGCTAAGCAAGCTGGGTTGTTAAGTGAGTTATGTCCAACTTTATGATCTTCTTGCCATGGTTGTTAAGTGAAATACTGTCGGTGAGCAAACCAGGCAGTCATTACCGTAAGCGAATCCAGCTTTCCCCACGATTTTTTGCTTGTCGGAAGTTGGCTTGGAAGATGTCAAATACATGCTGGTTGTTGCAACGGTTATGAACACATGCCAGTTTCCAAGCATCCATATTTTTTTTATCACGTGACCCTGGGGATGCTGGCAATGGATTAAACATAAGTCACTTTTTCCAGTGCTGTTGTAACTTTGTATGGTCACTAAATGAATGGTTGTAAATCAAGGACAATCTGTACAGGAGGATCGGCTTAGGATCAGGGAAATACTAGAGTCATTTCTTGGTGTAGGGAGACCGTGGTATAAAAAGGGAGCTGTTGGAACAGGTAGAGCAGAGGAATCCAACTCTGGCAACTTTAAGACTTGTGGACTTGGATTCCCAGAATTCTCCAGTCAGCTGGAGAATTTTTATTGTTCTTTTTCACCTTTAACACACATTAATGTTGATTTTAACAGTACTGTGTCATCATTATTATACAAATTATTCTACACATCAATCTCATATAAATATCTACATTTATACATTCATTTACTTTTTTCTGTAATTTTATTTCCTTTATCTTTATTTCTATTGTTCAACCAATTATACCAAATTTCATAATACTTCGACTCTTCTTTCTCTTTTAGTTTTAATATCAATTTGTCCACAAGTCTTAAAGTTGCCAAGTTTGGACACCCCTGATGTACAGTCATTACAACCTCAGCTATTCTCCCTGACAAGTTTTATTATAAGTTCTATTATGACTTTTCTTCTTTACTTTCTCTAGAAGTCAGATCTGCGGTGAAGATTCCAGTACTGGTGGGGTCTGGTGTGACTTTGGATAATGTGAAGGACTACTTAAGTGCAAATGCCTTGATTGTTGGTTCCTATTTCAAGAAAGGAGGCCATTGGGCAAATGGCATTGATCTCGATCGTGTGAAGATTTTTATGGATTATATTGGCAAAGTAAGAGTGTAAATTTGTTCGCTTCTGCTGTGAGTTTCCATTCGAAGTGCAACTGCACCAGATATTTTATCTTGCAATTTTCCAAGTCTTTTTATACTTAGAGGATATTTTTAAACTTCTGAATTCAAAATTAAAGCCACACTCTACACTCAGATACATGTTCATTTCCCTATACTAGATGGAACACCGGAGGAAAAAATATATAGGGAGAATGGTCCTGAAAATACTATGAAAGTATATCACATGGAAAATAGATGAAGTTGCAGTGTCCATGTAACAATAAATCCTCAGTCTTAAAGTCCAGTTGGAAAGAAAAATACTTAGATAATTTTTACAATAGCTAATTTGTATATAAAACTATCTGTCTGAATTTTAGTAATTCATGCACATAAAATGAACAGATATTTTTCAGATTGAGTTAGCAATAAACAATGTTTGGTGAAATCTGAGACTGAACTCAGATTCTGTCGGTTACATCCAAAGTTTGCTGCATAGGAGCATGTAAAATCAAAGTTTCACTATACTTTAAGTTGGGAATCTGCTGCTCAAATGCCAAATGATTCGCGATCAGACAGATTGCAGGAGTGTCCTTGGCAGAGTTATAGTTATTACAAGAGGCAGATCGAAAAGAAAACATTTTTAAAAGTACTAAAGTATGATTATGAAGTTAATATAAGTGAATTAAATAATGAGATAAGTATTTGGAATAATACAATAAAATGGAAAATGTATAAAAGCATTGCTAAGATAAGAAACTGGATACAAAAATTGAATATGTAACTATAGTCATATTTATATGTATATGTGAAACCTGTAATCATGCTGTTCACTAAAAAGAGATGTGGAAAACTGAATAAAACTTGTTTAAAAAAAAAAAAGAAGAAGAAAATATTTGTCCATGCCATTCCAAGGAATTGAACCTGAATCCCTGACTTCTAACTCGTGACGTGAGCATCCAACATCATCAACCAAAAGGTATGGTTACGCTCTCTTCTCTCCTAATTAAAAGCACTGGAAGCAGGGGAGGGCTACTAGCGCAGGGGTTCGGGAGAGCCCCTAGCTTAGATTCTGCAGTTCAGAGAACCCCCAAATCCCACTCCTGGCTGTCCCCACCTACCCCTCCCCTCCCAGGAGTCCCCACGCAGCTCGTTTTGAATACAGGTAAGTGCAGGAGGCTCAGGGAGGGTGAAAAACGGCCTCCCAGAAGTTGGAGGAGGTCAGAAATGGGCCCGTTTCTGGCTTCCAGAGAGCCCCTGGAGTTCAGGGGAGGCCATTTTTGCCTCAAGGAAAGCCTCCGGAGCCCGTGGAGGGCAAAAACAGTCGTGCAGGAGACCGACTAGGCCACGCCCACCGTGGCCACGCCCACCCAGCAACCAGACAGAGAATCCTCCAGACTGGAAGCCATGATTGTAAGTTTCCTGAGTTTTCTTTTACCAGTATAGAGTGGTAATCCACAAATTTGAACTGGAGTCTTCCATGACTAACAAATGCAGTTGTTAGTCTAATTGGGAGGCAACTCAAGTGTATCTGAGTAGGGGGTCCCAGTTAAGAATGGGTGTACCTGATGTAGAGGAAGGGTCTGTGCATTGGTCCTTCTGGCCACAACTGTCCTCTACCCTTTGAGCAGGGCCTTAGAAGCTAGAAAGACCCTCGTGTTGTACGTGCACCATTTCCAACTCATCGGGGAGGATGTTAACCCCATCCATTCGTCATACTGAATCCTCATAAGCTTCTGGAAATTGCACCTTGTTGGCAAGAGAAACGGCAGGTCTAGTCATGGTTTGCGTTTTTGACAGTTTATCAAGGTTATAGAGTACAGATTTCCTCTGGGGGAAATTAGTTTCTTAAGTTTACAAAGCACTGGGATGTAAATATCCATAAAAATGACAATTTGGTCAGCTGTATTTATTTCTAAGCCGGTCAAAGGACATTAGCATGTTCAGCTGCATAAATCTGTTAAGTACAGTCCAGAAATTCTCATGTTTTCCAAATTGCATTGGATTTTTCTTTCTAGGCTTGGAGAATATGGCACAATAATCATTGCTGAAAATAAAGTGTCTGGAAAATTGTGGGGAAACCTCTGTGCAATCTTTATTTCCAGAACAGATAACTTTTTTTTAGTAAGAAAAAAGGAGAGTGAGAGAAAGGGAGGGAGGAAGGAAAGTAAGTCAGTCAGTCTGTCTGTCTCTGTCTCTCTCTCTGTCTCTGTCTCTCTCTGTAAACCTAAAGGGATTTTTCTCCTGCATCCCCAATAGTAAAATTCAATGAGTTAGGGCAATTACACAAAGACATGATCGGAAGTTCCCTTGGGTACTATAAGGATATACAATAGAACCTCTGGTCACAAACGCTCCTGACCACAATCAAAGTGGGTAACGACCAAACATTTCACCAAATTTTTGCATCTGGTCGTGAACAAATACTCGGGTGGCAATCAAACACAGCCACGGCGATTTCCCCTTCTGCACCATTTTTTTTTTTTTTTTTGGTATGCATATGCCAGACATGATATTCTTCCGATTAAAATCGGAATTCCGATTTTTTTGGGAATCGCCCCCCCCTTTCCCCCCTTCTTCTCCTCCTTCCCCTCCCCTCGGAGGCCCCGAGTCAGGAGTTGCTACCGCTGGCGCGGCTCTGCGTGGCTCCAGTCCCGCGTTGCCTCAGGAAGGGAAAGGCAAAAAGGAAGAGCCGCGGCGGCGCTTTGCAACGGCAGCAGCGGCTCCTGGTTTTGCCTTTCCCTTCCCGAGGCAACGCGGGACTGGAGCCGCGCCGGCGGTAGCAACTCCTGACAGCCCCAGCCGGATACCTGAGCGGAGCCCGGGCGGGCGGGCGGTGCGAGCGGAGCCCGGGCGGGCTGGCGGTGCGAGCGGAGGCTGCTGAGCGGCAGGAAAAGGGAGCTGGGCAGCGATTTCTTGGCGCGCGGTGGGGGGGTCTCTTTTGGCCGGCCCCGATTTTTTTTTCAGAGGGGAATATCATGCCTGATATGTGCAGTCAGTTTCGCTTGTGGTCACAACCAAATCAGGTTGCAACCAAAGTCATGGAACGGATGACGGTTCTGACCAGAGATTCTCCTGTACTCAAAATTCTCAGAAATCTTCCCAGAAAATTCATATGGTGCAGCAGCTGGTGAGATAGAGGCATGTCATTTCACCATCAGTGAACTCTTGCCACTGCCTGAGGTGTCCCACCTGGGCTGCTGAAAACAGAGAGGCCGAAAACCCATAGTTGGGTGCCGATGGAAGTGCGATAAATTGGTGAGAACAAATTTATTTATCAAATCGGGTTATATTGGGAAACACCCAACCAGGGAGGGAGGAGGTCTCAAACAGGGCATTAGCCTGGAATCCTTGTGCAGCTGCAAAAGACCCTGGACTAATCCCCGCTTAAACTCCCTATCTTATCTTAACCTTATCTGTCTATTCCCAGGAGAAAGCAGACAGTCTGGGAAGATTCCTGTACAACAAGCAGAACATAATAAAGTCGTTGTTCTGACCAAGGCTTCCTGAGACCGTAATTAAGCACACGCTTAATTAAAACAATTCTTGTTTTACTTCAGTGCTGGGAATTATGTTCATTTCCACACTGTATTGAGACCCAAACAGTCCCTCGAGATAAGCACCCACCTTTCTCTCCTTTGAATTGCTGCCAACAACTAAACTGCCAAATGAACTACAAAAAACCAGCCGAAGTACAAAGTCCACACAGAGCTTCAAGGATTAATCCGAACAGAACGAACGACTTCGCGTCCTGCAAAGGTTTCTTCACCTTTGCTTGTCCTTTATACCTTATGGGAGGGGCAATCACTCCAAGCCTTACTCCCGAATTGCCCCTTTTGTCTCGGCTGCTCTTGACTTCTAGCAGCTCTGCGCACGCACGCACACACACACTGGGAACAGGCTCCCCGGTTCCTCTGCCTCACTGCTGCCAGACTCCAAGAGCTTCGGAGTCAGCACCCCATTCCCAGATGGTCCTGGCCCCATCCCTGCATCAGATGCAGGACCCTCGTCCGAGTCCTCCCCAGACTCCCAGACTGGTCCCCATTCTTCCCTACTGTCCGATTTTGCTGCCGTCTGCACGGGCTACCTGCAAACCACAACAGTAGTTACATTCATACTCAACATGTATGAATATGGTTGCTTGCATCTAACAGCGTCTTCTGCTAACTGGCCTGAAGTTTAACAGGACAGAATGGAACACAAGTCATGTTTCTTCAATGCCAGCAGTTTAGAAAATCCCTTCCATAGACACAATAGAATTCCCCCCAGCAAAAGCAGTAACTGTCCCTCAACTGTTCGTGCAGGATAAAACACGCACACTTTCCTTGCTATCTATCTGCTTTAATCTAAAATATAGAACCTGATGGATGCCCTGGGTAAATCAAGCATTTTCTGTCTGCCAGAAGAGGTTTGCTAAAGCTTATTTTGTGCCATTACCATTTTTTCGGTGTCTGGACGTAAATCATGACAAGTACCAACCCTATTCATCCCCTTTAGAAGTAACGCCTTGCCTTTGCATAATTATCCAGACCCCGTGGAGATCTCTGGGCACAGTAAATCTGTTCATTTAAAAGGTTTCGCTTTAAGTGTAACACCGCCATAAATTGGGGAGGGGAGGGAGAACAAATTTATTTATTTAATAGGTTTATTCTGTTAACTGGCTTGATAACCATCAAGACTTCTGCTGTTTCATTTGACAGGCCTCCCGCTAATGGGCCTGATTTATTTCGGTGGTGAATATTTCTGTAGGAAGGCTCACACTCCGTGTAAGATTGGTGGAAATTGGTATATGGCTAAGATTTACTCTCATTATTAGTGGAGACCACTGAACTTCAGAGGACTTTCAGTATGTCTACCATAGGATGCCTGGAAAAAAAAAATCTTGTTTGAGTAATTTAACCAGGGCAGGAAGAAAAGCTGGGAAGTATGAAATTGAGTCCATTTGGAGTCCATTTTTCAAACTTGGCAACTTTAAATGTATGGACTTCCAACTCCCAGAATCCCCCAGTCTGCATGCCAAATTTGAAGTAGCACTTAGACTTATATACTGCTTCACAGTGCTTTACAGCCCTCTCTTAAGCGTTTTGCAGAGTCAGCCAATGGCCCCCAACAAATTTGGGGTCCTCGTTTTACTGACCTCGGAAAGGATGGAAGACTGAATCAAGCTTGAGCCAGTCAGGGTCAAACTCCTGACTGCGGGCAGAGTTAGCCTGCAATACTGCCTTCTAACCACTGCACCAACAAGGTTCTTTAGCATGGTTTTACCAACAACTGAAAATAAATGCCCGTTTTGAACAAAACCATCATAAAATGGGGTCACATGACTTCAGGACACTGCAAATACAGCCCGTTTGCTGAGCTTCCAGGTAGGACCTTTGCAATTTTAGTTGTAAGTTGAGGAATACCCATTGTGATGACCCAGGGCGTGGCACAAAGGCAACACAGTCAGATAATCAGTAGGAGTTCCTTTATTAGCTCCAACTTTGCCCTCAATGTCCTGGTTACCTTCTGGCTGGAGAAAAAACTCTCCCAGGAAAAGCCTTTGGCTGCAGAGATTCAAGTCCAAAACATGGTCAATAAAAACTGTAACTATAAGTCCAATCAAGGCAAAATGAGGTAATTCGTTCGGCAGGGCAGG